CAACATGCAGCTGGACTGCGCTCTCTCCCATGGCTCTCCCTGGCTGTAGAAGCAGGTGGAATATGGAGGGTGCAGGCAAGTCCCAACATCTTCCTTCCTTCCAAATCCCAGACCTACTGTACTTCCACAGAAGGGCACTACTGGGCGAAGGGGGAGAGGTATGATGCAGGCCATAAATTGGTGCCCTATGTAAGCAGCAACACCCCTGCATCCAACCACAGAAGCAAAGCAACGGCAGAGATGCACGGAGCAGAAACCAGACAGCAGGACCTCGTGCTGTGCAGGGTGCGGTACTCCAGCAAAAAGGGCTACAGCCTAACTGTCCCCTGCACACACGAGACAGGAAAAGAAAGAAAACGTGAGCTTCAGGACATCAGCTTTAGCTCGACCTGAGGGGTACCACGCAGCAGCAAAACCGTCACACACTGGGACAAAGCTTCCAACACACTGAACAGTATGGTCACCCAAGTGAAAAATTAGGCATCAAACTCATTAGGACGTCCTGTAGCTTGGTCACTTGGGCAACAAACTGCAAGGAGACACGTTGCTATCTGGCAGCCTTCAGAAAAGCTAGGCAGCCCATGTGTTGCCCACACTAGCCTTGGCCTGCCCTGTGACTCAAAGAAATGGGGAAGGCCTTACCGGACTGCTGACACTTCATGCACATGCCCACTAGAGCTCCAAGCAGCATCAAGGACGCTGCGGCCCAGAGCAGTTCCACTTGAGCCATTGCTCCGCAAGTGTCCAGCCTAAAAACACAAGCAATGGAAAAAAAAAACAACCCATTAATGCACTTGCTCAGTGCCTTGCAGCCCTGTCAGCTCCCAGGAGCATTTAAGTGCTCAAACCTATCATGCAAAGACCAAAGAAATCCTTCCTCCATTCTTCCAGAGATCATCATAATTATATTGTGCAGAATGTAGTTATTATTATTCCTCTTTCCATGACCTTTGTGTTGAAGTTGTGATTGCCTCAGAGCAGAGGCTGCCCTTCCATGTTTGGATGATGCCTCATGCTACTTCAAAGGGCTGCCTTCTCCCCATTCTGCTTTGGGGAAACAGAAGCAAAGCGAAAACAAGCGACTCGCCCAAGGTTACACAAGAAAACAGTGGCAGAGCCAGGAATAGAAGCCAGGTTTCCTGACTCGGCCTAGCTTCCCATCCACTAAACTACGTTGCCTTCACACCCAGGAGAGACTGTCACAGAAGGGGAGGTATGATTTCCAAGCATGACGTAACTCAGAAATAGGAAAGACCCCAACACTAGATGGTCTAGTCCTTCCTGCCTGCCAGCGCAGAAAATGCTTTCCGACACTGCCCTCAGCAATGCTAGTCTCTGGTTTTAGAAGGCACCTTAGGGCAGACTGCTACATTAACAGAGCTCATCGAAAAAAAACATTCCTCGCTATTCAGCCTGGTGTTTCTTTTGTTTGGGGTTTCCTCAAAATGCAAATGCCATATGTTCTTCTGCTGGGCCAGAGAAAGAGGCAGCTGCCTTCTCCCAGACCTTGCATGGTCATGAACACCTGTACAAAGCAGATACTACTCTGAGTTCTTCGCTCACACTACCAGCTGCATTTTCCACCTACTTTGCATAGCTGAAGGATGGGGAAAACAATGCAATAATGCCATTGCTGCAATCTCTGAGTACAGTTTTCCCTTGCCAACCACTGGGCTTAGCTTCCTGAAAGTTCCCGTGATTAGCAAGACAAAAGGCTTTATGAGAAAAACGGCAGGTGGTGAGCTAACACGTGGCCACAGAAAACTGTGGTTAGTCAAAACTGTATACCGTGGTAGCCAAAATGGTATATAGAATATTAAGTGTGGATACTCAAAAGCATGGTTGGCAAAACCGTGGTTGATGAGGGCAACTTGTACATCATTTTAACCCAGCGGGAGCAATGTTTTTGGCAGGAGCGCAAGAAGTTACTCCCACGCCCTCCCCAAGGGCCACTGGTACCCCCTTTCCCTGCTTAATTGCCTGCTCTGCTTTCTGCTCCCTTCCTGATTTGCTGCTCTTTTCTGGTCCCTGCCCTATCTGCCACCATATTGCCTGTTCCTTCTCTGGTCTGCTGTGTTGGCTCTTCCTAGAGATAGAGTCTGGACAGGACCTGGTCTTTCCCCTCCACACTGACACACCAACACACACTTCCTGGCATTGTGCGTTATAGCTGGTGACTTTTTGCTAGCTCTCCCAGGAAGCACTTAGCTAACACCCGTTTATGGGACAGAAGCCCTCATGACACTGAGTAAGCCCATTGCTTGGCTGTAAGAAAATTCCCCTATGAGAAAGCTATTGCCTAATCATACATTATGGGATATCTGGCAGTTTCTTTAGAAGCATCTCAGTCCTTTTAAAATTAAAGATCGAGGGGCTACAATACAGCCTGTGGTGCCTGCAGCACATGGGGAATTATTCAGGTTTCAAAAGCAGGGAGAGGCCTTCATCTATGCCAGTATTCCCAGCAAGAATCGGGGCAGGACGGTCTCTGAAGGACAGGTCTTTCAGGTAGCAACAGGGTTATGGCCAAGAAGCACTGCAGAAGAGAACACCCTTCACATAGCCAGAGCAATCCTCTTGTCCTAGCATCGCATCCCCTTCTCCAGCCACATGCCAAGGGAAGCTGCAGCCTGGCACGTCACACAGAGCTACACAGCACACACGTGTGGCAGTGGAAGGAAACCTATACTGCAAGCCGGTAACTGCAATCTATACCCTTGCCTAAGGCTTGCGGGTTTTTTTTTTTGGCACCCCCCTGCCTCCCCTTCATTGTGTTCAATTCCATTTCTGTCTGTGCTCTATCATCTCTAGCCTATTCCTTTGCTGGGGCACCCCAGAAGCAGCTGCATTTGATTAATTACTTCGCCGAACAAGTGCTTAAAGATGCTTCACGGTGCACACAAAGCAACTATTTACAAAGCCAAAACTTCAGGATGCAAAACTCCCATTGGCATCTACAGTTGCAGGTTCAAACCCTTATTTTAAAGGCATCCCTATCTGTTTAGCAAGTTTACAAGTTGGCAATGTCAAGCCAAACGAGCCCTTTTGCTGTCATTAGATGCTGTGTCGCTGGCTTAAATTTAAACTCAAGAACTCCAGCACAGCAAAGCGTAGAGAGGAGCAATGTTTCACAAGCCACCCTTCCCAAATCCCTGAAATTTCATGTTTTGGTAGTGTTGAAAATTACGCAGGGACAAAAACAGGTCCCACATCCTCTAAGGGACTTCATCCCTAGAGCTTTGCAACACCTAGTGTGTGTCATAAACCACGAGTGCAAAAAACACAACAGCAAATATTCCACAGCCAAGACAGAAAAATAAAAACCAACCCACCCACACTTAACCCTGAAACAGCAAACAGTGAAAAAAACTCCCAAACCTGCATACAGCCCTGATCAGGTTCCCCACTAGGCAACAACAAAAGCACAACCTTCCAGGCACAGGCAGTCATCAGCCAAGCTAGCAGAAGCGTGACCATGAGAAGCCAAGCATGGCCCGTGATTGCTCATCTGCTTATGCTGCATTAGAACCCACGTGCAAAGGTATTGAGAGACACAACCCACTCTTTTGCAAAAGATCTAACGGAAAAAGCCAACACGCAGGCTCGTGACTGGGCAGGGAAAGGTTAGTGACACTTGCTCATTGTGGGAGAACATGAACAACATGCATTTCTCCCTTCTCTCATTCTATTAGGTGGGAAATACAGAACAGGCTCAAGGATCTACATTTTCACTTGGGTTTTGACTAGGGTCACGTATTTGACTGGTCAAATAAAGGTTTGGTCAGTTACCAAATACCAATTATCAAATACCAGTCTTTTTTTTTTTTTTGTTTAATTGCCAACAGGTCCAAACATCACAGAAAAAGCCCAAATCTTCCATTAAATGTGTCAATAAACAATTCAAAAAATTATATTTCTGCCAAGACAAACTACAAAAAAAAAAAAGTAGTTTTTTTTTTTTTTTTGTAAAGTTGCTATATTTTTGACCAGTCAAAAACATGCAGCCGATTGATCGGTCAATTGACCCACTTGTCATGCCTAGTTTTGACGACATAAGGGGTCAGGCATTGTCTGGTTTCACGATGGGGCCTTTTGCAAATTTCAGGCATTGATCGCAAACAAAAGAGTTTTATTTTTGTCAGATCCTCTTATCAGAGTTATGAGTAAAGATGCTCAAAGCTTTACCCTCTGTGGCTTGGCCCCGTTTCAAAAACTTCTCCATCTTCTCTATTATTTACCACACATGCCAACACCCACAGAAGTCTCTATGTAAAGTAGCACAAGCCATCAACGGTCTATCCACGCTGTTGGCGAGTCTTAAAAAGCATTTTAAACATGCGTCAGACTATGCAAGGGTCCTTAGAATAAATTTCTTAAGTTAAATTATTCCATTCAGAATAACAAGTGGCAGAGACAGGAATAATTGCTAGTTTCCATTGCATGATATTGCCCCATGAGAATTAGCAGTGCACTTACCAAAACAGTGTGGGGCTCTTTTCAAATACCAGGGTATTCTTAGTAAACAAAAAAAGGAAATACTGATTTAAATGAGATGAAACAGAGAAATAGTTTTTTCAAGAGCCCGCCAGGCCTATTCTCTCTAGCTCCTTTGATCTGCACCTGCTGTGTTTAAAGGTAATCTTGGCATTTGCCTGTTACTGCCCTGAGCCTGAAATTCAAGCAGAGCCTCAGTAAAAGCTGCAAAGAAGAGCTACAAGGGTGAAAGAGCCTGGATTGCTTCATTGAGCAACAGACAGACAGAGGGGAGAAGATTGTTGCCTTGCATGCACCATAGAAAAAGCTAGTTCAGGTTTAAAGAACTAAATGGGAACAAGAAGAAATGAGTATCCAAATGCCATTACTAAATTTAGGCTGGAAATTATCGGAAGATTGCTTGCTATCAGAGCAGCGAGGCTCTGCAACTGTCTGCCTTTGGCAGTAGTAGGGTCAAGAACTCTTCTGGTTTTAAGATCGAGCTCGCTGAACGTACGAGCAGGACTGCCCACGAGGGCAGGTACTCATCTATCAAATGATTTATAATGAAGACAGCCGGACTCTCTGAGCCTACCAGGCTCTGCCCACGTAACTCAATTAGAGGAGAGAGGACTGAAACTGGTATTTTAAGGGGTTTATGAAACTCCTCTGTAAAGCCTGTGCTCCTGTTTGAAAATCTGGGGTGAGCAGGTGTCCTTTCCTGCCTATTTTAGCTTAGGATTTAAAAGGACTAACCATTTGCAAAACCTGTAGTACTTTAAACAAAAGGAGAAGCAACTAGAGTGGTTGGATGAAGTGCTAGAGGAAAAATAAGCTGGGTAGATTAAAAACAAACCATTAAAAGCTTAACACACCTTACTCCTTGAACTTCAGCATACAGACTGAACAAGCAGAGTCAGTATTTAGACTGATTTGATAGCTTTTAAGAGCTCCAGAGACCTTCCTTGTCAAAGGCCTCCTCTACCTTAGACTTTCCCCTGCTCCAAAATAACTGATTTTAAAAGGTGGACGGGACCTTCTTGGGTTGGAACAAATTTCCAGGATCACTTTAGTTAAGACTTCTAAATAGCCCCAGAAAGGGATCTGGCTGCCAGCGTTGCCTATACCAGCCCCTAAGGCCATTTGAAGTCATTTGGAAAGTCTCTGCGATATAGAGAAGAATGTAACGCGTATTTGTGCAGAGCCCAATGCAGTGAGGTCTCTGACCAAGGTCCATAAACAGCACTCTGCCCAGGACATGGGAAATCTGGCCCAGGTGTGAAGTAGATCCTGGTGCCAGTTTAAAGTCAAAGGAACTGCGCTGACTCAAGCTAGGGCTGAAGTTTACCCAGCCATTTTTATCTAGTCCCTACCTATGTTGAAACATCCATGGTCTTTATTTTTTCCCCAGGCGGGAAGTCTATGCGTTTCTGCGGCAAAGGGAAAGACAGGAACACTGGGACAGACAGTATTTTACAGATTTTAGCCGATTCTGAGGAACTGCCTCCAAGTTGCATGACTGATTTGTTTCAGTAGGGAAACCTGTCCCCTTCCCAGGGAAAAAGAGAAACAGTCTGGTTCTAAGCATATTTTGGGAGGATATAAATGCCCCTGTCTTGATAGAGCAGCATTTCCAAGCTGTATTCAGCTTGGTTGCCCGTTTCCTATTCTCACTCTAATTGCCCATGCATGCAGAAGCCTGAGAAATACCATTCAGATTAAACACCAGAGCACAACAGTGGTTATGACCCCTTAAAGGCAGGTATGAGAACTATTCAGGAAAAAGCCATTGCCACATTCTCATGCAAGCTTATTACTCTTCTTATTATTTTGCATTCTGGGCTACACAGACCTAATAGGGGACAAGGATCCTGAGGTCTAAAGCCTACACATACAAGCCTTGACTCTGCAATGCAATCCGTGCAGGGGAACCCCTGGTGTCTCTGCAGTGCTGCGTCAGTGCAGAAAGTTGTCCAGTTGGATCCCAGTATAGGACTGGGGCTTGTAAGACCTGATTCCTGCAAACAACCTGCTGATTTCCATGTAATATATGCTATTGTGCAAAATCCCGCTGAAGTTAGTGGGAGTAAAGAGTGCTGGCAGTCAGCATTGGCTCTGTAGGCCTAATATGCAAGTTTTCAGTTTAGGTACAAGGAACCAGGATGATTTCCTGAACCTGGACCCTGGTACTGGGTGGCAAATACATGCCTGAGAACAGAAGAATGGTTCAAACAAGAGCAAAACTAAGAGGCAAGCATGGCTGCTGACAAAGCTGCTCAGAAAGTTCAAGGATGACTGAAGCAGCAAGCATTATGAAAAGGATGTGAAAGATTGTCCTGTTGCAAATTAGCTTGTTTATTTATACATCATGAAACACTCTGGAGCCCTCCATTGAAGATGCTATCTGTCTTCATAGGCAGGCAAGGTGCTTTGGGTAGATGTGATATCTTTTACTGGACCGACTGAGTAGATGGAAAAAAGTGCTTTGCGGGCTTTTGGGCACAATCACCCTTCTTTGGGCGTAGGCAGCCTCTGCCGTTCAGAGACTT